GATAATAGAAAACTTCGACAATTTCATTTTTAAAACCGCAACAAATTAGATATTGATTATCTTATTTTATAGTAAAGTAACATTGTTTATCACTTTTACAATGTAATCTATTTAACTAGAAAATATTATTCATTTATGTATGTTACTGTTATTCATTTAATTATAATTGAAAACATAAGTAGATGAAGGACCTATACAATAAAAATATCATTTGAAGATATTTGGGTTTCTTATTTGGATAGTTAGATACCTAGTTAACCATAGAACATAGATCCTTTATTTGAAAGATGTTATAACAGAATATACCTAGTTAGGAAGAATTTGATTCATAAGCCCTTTATTTATGCAAAGATTTAAAAATCAATGTACATCAGCCCTTTATCCATTTATTTCTTCAATTTCAAATATACAATCGTTTAGTTAGGTACCAATTAGATACCTTTAAACTATTTTTTATAACCTGCAAACAATATTTAGAGAAAATCTTAAAACAGTAAAAACGTATATGTCAAATTTATTGATGTTTTTGTTAAAAGTTTTGTTAGAATTAAATGTTAGTGGAACCAAAATGACATCACACTAAACTGGAGTATTGCCTAAGTAGATTATCCTTTGTCTAAAACCAGTTAATCTGACAATAATTAATAAATGTATGTTTTATTTTACATACCTAATATGTATCAATAAATTATTATATTTCTAATTATTACCTTATTACCAATTAGTAAGTTTACCTATATAGGTACCCACAATCTAAACAGCTTTATTAATGCTTTTAAATGTGAAATATAATTCTTGGTGTAACCGGTTATTAGCCCAATTGCAAATTAAATGCCGTGCAACTATAAGGAATAATGAAATTACAAGCAGTGACGTACGCATTAAAAATTTTCATTAAAACAAAGATTCAGCTATTTTAGACTATGTTGGGATTATATCGGGAGAAATTCCAGGAGTGTAAAAATAATATGAAAAAAAATGTACCTAGTAAATGAACGATAAGAACGTCATAACTCAAAACAGTTGTAGCTGTTCAGTTAAACGTTCATGATCATAGTTCATACTCAAACTAAGCCATTTTTCCTTTAATTAATTTTGTGATTCCTTATTACCTGATTATTTCTATATTTTAAAAGTTTGTCTATTATAAACGCACTTTTTTATTCTTTGTTTTTCACTTTTGTGTGTTTATGAAGACATTTTATCGAAACAACAAATTTTGTTTGTTATTTATTATTATACAGCACATTTTTTCTATGTTAATCCTTGTATTTTAAATTCCTGGGTTCCTCTGCATTACTCTGTATTATTTAAAAAGCTAGAAGAATAATTATTAATCTATAAATAAAATAAATTAAACAATAAATTGTTAACTTTCACTTATACCACAGTAATAATTAATTAAATAATTTGGGCGATATATTTCATTGCCCTTCTACCTTCTACGCCACTGTTCTTTTCATTGTAATTCTAGACCGGTTACGTTCACCAAGTGGGTGCAGTACCGAATAATTATTATAACGAAAATAATACGGCTCGATACGGTTTTCTGACTTTGTTAACGCGAAAACTTGCCTTTGGTTAAATATCCATATGGTATTGAAAACTGATAATAATAACAATAATGCGTTAAACACACACTGGAGATTTTTATCAATTTACTGTGAAGGTAGAATAGGATTAGAGGTCGGTATGAAATGCAAAGTATAATTAAACAACAATCGTAGATATATCGATACAGTTAAGGCAATAAATATTCATCCATAAAGTTACATCAGAGCTGTAGCAATTTTTGATACAGGTTTTAATCTAAATTACAGACATTTAAACCCCATATCGAAGGCTTAGGGTCATAACAAGTGTCCAATTTCATTTGCAGTTAATATATTGTTATGATCATGAGCCATTTCTTTAAAAAATGTTAATACGATGAGTTAGATTTGTTAATTTTGTCACTAACTGGATTCTTTTTTTTTTAACACTGCCAACTGATGTTCACATATTTCTTCAATTTGCAAAAGCTTTTGATTTTCAAAGAATTTTGTATGGACCTTGAAATTTGGGCATTAAATGTAAACAATAAAAAATTGGAAACTAATCGTCAAACGGGAATTATTTGTTGTTAGATAATACTGATCATCAGTGCCAAGGTTTTGCTTTTCTAGGTTATGTTGGGAATGGGGTGTTAATACAGTGCGACCTTAAAGATCTATTGTGCCCCCTTCTACCGCTAATACACCAAGGAAATGTCTCAATGCCTATAACGACCCTTCCAATCCTATCTTCTCAAGGAAACATAGGATTTGAAGTGGCTTCAAGTTACCTAAATCTCCCTCTTCTATTTGATATCTCTCTAGGTATAGTGCCCCTGGATTCTGGAGTGCTACACATTCAGTTAGAATGTGAATGGAGGTTTCGTCCTCCTCCTCCTCCTCCTCGTCACAAAATCTGTACTCTACTACTCTCAGTTTACTAAGATGTCCTTTTAATCGGCAATGCTTGGTTAGGATCCCTGTTACAATACGTAGCCTGTCCTTGTTCAGGCAGATGCAGGCTTCCGATCTTTTCTGGTTATATCCATCCAGAAGTATCTTAGCCTGTCTCAGCCCCAAGAGATTGTTCCAATTATCGGTTCTTCTACTGCCCAATTCTTTTTTAATCTCTTCTTATATTCTGTTACTGCTGATACCGCAGAATGGCTCAGGTCCTACAAAGGGTGTTTGAGCCCCTTTCCTTGCAAGACAATCTGCAATCTCGTTACCCTGTACGTCGTTATGTCCCGGGACCCAAATGAGAGTAACTCTATTTTTCTCGCCTAGCTCGTTCAATTGTTCTAGGCATCTCCAGACCATTTTTGAGCTGATTACGTAAGAGCTCAGCACTTTGACGGCTGCTTGTCTATCGGACATGATGGTAATCTCTTGTCTATGATAGTTTCTCTCAATATTAAACTGGATACACTTCTCAATGGCGTGAATTTTCGCCTGAAAGATGCTTGGGTATTCTCCCAAGCTTTCGGAGTACTTGGTTTTCGGCCCATACACTCCTATTCCAGTTCCTTGTATCTTTAGTCCTGAAGCAAGTAGACTTTCGTCTGATTACTCCGTTCCTCATCATTCTATATCGTGTCCTTTTTACCACATTCTCTACCATCAAATGTAGAGGGGTGAGGTTTAAGATCACCTCCATTGCGGCCATAGGGCAGGTTCTCATTGCACCGGTGATGCAAACACAGGCTAGTTTTTATACTTTTGAGATATTAGCTCTCGTAGCTGCTAAACTAGTTTTGATACTCCAGGCTATAGCCCCGTAAGTGATGACTGGTCTCACTATTGTAGTTGTAGCAATATGTTTGGGTTACATCCCCATCGTTTACCCGCAATGTTTCTGCATACCATTAGGGCTTTCGTGGCCTTATTTACTACGTCCTTCTCATGTGTGTTCTAGAAGTTTGTTGTCCAGGGTTAGGCCTAGATATTTGACTTGATTTTTCCATTCTATATCTATCCCGTCTAATTTAACGGTTTTGAGATTGTTTTCTTTTCCTTGAAAAGGCTATTAATGTTGTTTTTGTAGGGTTTGCACTTCACAGCACCATCTTTTGGTATGTTCTAGTCCTCGTTGGACTATATCACACAGGATATTTCTAAAATTGCCTCTAGCAAATATGACTATGTCGTCGGCATAACCTGGACAGGGTATGCCCAGGTCAGTCAATCTGCATAGCAGTTCGTCTACGGTTAAGCTCCACATTAATGGGGATAGAACTCTTCCTTGTGGACATCTTCTGGTTGTGCAGATGGAGATATTGTCCTGCCCTATCTGTGTCTCTGCAATTCTCGTAGGGACAATTACTTTTGTCATTATTTTTTAATTAATTTACTCATCACAAATAATTGAAATTATTTGAACAATTTTACCTACAATTTTTATTGAAATTCCCTCCTTACGATTAATTTATATTCTAGACGAAGTTAATATCCCATCAATCACAATTAAAACTATTGGTCATCAATGATACTGATCCTATGAATATTCAGACTTTAATAACATTGAATTTGACTCGTATATAATTCCTATTTAGTTCTTCGAGATCGCTTTCCAGAGCAAGTGGGTGCCTGGATTCCTTTTTTGTCTGGATACGTGCTAAATTTTGTTTTAGAATGGTTTTGTATTTGTCCCAGTCTATTTTTTTAGGATTCCTCCTGAGGATCGTCTCAGGAATGACGCTCTCTAAAGTTAACACAATTATCTTGTGATCAGATAGAGATGGTTCTTTTGATACTCTCAAGTCTGTAACTGATCTTTAATGTGATATCTAATACCTCACTTTTTGCCCTTGTTACAAATGTTGGAGAATTCCCAATATTTTGCACAATAAGGTTCTTATTAAAAATATATTATAAAAGTTGCTCACCTCTGTGATTGGTGTCGTTGCTCCCACATACGGTGCTGTGCGCGTTGGCGTCGCATCCAAGAAGTAATGGCAGATGTCTCCCTCTGGCAGTACTCTACTAGCCTCGATACTTCCGGGGGTGGTACAGGCCCATCTCCGGGTATGCTCGAATTGGGACGAGATCACTCGTCATGAATTCTGAAGAACAAGAATATTTAATATTATTTATTACCATTATGCATGTTCTGGGTACTTTATCACTATTGTGATAAATTACCCTTGCATTCCTGGATCAGTATGATCTCTAATTGATCTTTAGTGAATGTCCTGGAGATCACAGCCGAGGCTCCCTTGGCGTGATGGACATTCACTTGGGCGATGTCGATGCCCGCCACTTCTATGTTACAAGTAACCTTCGTGTCTTAAGTCATTTTATGAAGATAATACTAAACTATAAATAAATGTGTTTCTCGATTATGACATCTTTCAAACTGATTTAAACCCCTTTAATAATTTACACAAGTTACTAATTTATTTGCTTTGATATATTGTACGTTTTATTACTAGTTTATCTCAAACAGGGATCTAAATAAAGTCACTTCTATTACCATATTATTATTCTTTATTTGTTTTACAATTTTTTTAATACATATGCCATATTTCCACTAGTATAACTTTAGTTAAATTGATTCTCTTTAGTCAAGGTTCATTAAGGATAACGGTATTTCTAGTAGCTCTTCCCTAATATTACAATCACTGTGAATGTCTTTTGTAAAATTTTGAAAAGCTACATGAAGATCTGTTGGTAACGTCTCACCAACTGGTTGATCTAAAAATAACAATAATTACCATTTAAAAAATTCAATACTTTCAATATTATTACTCACTTGACGTATCCAGCCAAACTCTTACTTCACTTTGGTTAATAGTATTGTCATCAGACATATTTCCTAACAGCAACCTTGCAACTAAAGCATCAGTGAAATTTTCCGTGAAATAAAGAGCCCCTACTACTTTATTTGTTCTAACTGCATCTTTAGCTTCTTCTGGTGTTCGATAATACTCTTCGGTAATAGTAATATTGATATGATTCATAAATTCATCTAAATATCGACAACTTAATTGTTTCAATTTGCATCCCGGTTTCCAATCGCATTCCTGTGAAGAATATGAAGGATTATGGTTAATCTAGTCTTAGAAAGAATATTATATCAGCATAGAAATTAGTATCAGACATTTACTGATGATCTGAGGAGTAGACAAAAATTTACTAATGTTTTTAAGAAACTGGAAAAGCTAGCATAAACGTATGGTCTTACTTTAAATTACTAAAACAAAGTTCAAAATGAAAGTAGGTTGAAAGGATTGACAAATATAAATTTTTCTGAGACTGTATTAACAAACAAATGTGATAAATCTGTTGAAATGGAAGGAATTGTACCATAGGCACTGAAATGGGAATTTATGATATGAAAAAAAGAAGATATGGTGGTGGAAAAGAAATGGAGACGGATAACAAAGAAAAAATTGATAGTATTGTATATAAATAGGAAAAAAAATACAGTTGTAGGCCACATTCATAAAAAGAAGAGTGATAAAATATGCTAGTAGAAGAAGAAATAACTGAAGAAAATGTGGTTGGAGTAAGACATTTCACAAAAAAAATAGAATTTATGATTAAACAAGAACTGGAGAGTTATTTTAATCAATTTAAAATATATTACCTGATAAGTTAAATTGGTGTAATTTGTTTCATGATTGACAATGGCTAATTTGAGTTCATTGGATTCATCTTCTGTTGCCAAGCAAAACTGTTTAAAATGAATCGTGGATAGAGTAAAAATTAAAATTATTCCTATGCGCTTCCACATAATAACAATCTTTTAAATATAAGGGTAACAATTATTATTGGAGGGTTGGTGCAGGACCTTGATCAAATCTGAAAAAGATAAAAGACGTCATATTTTTACTTTCCAGTCTGTATTCAGATAAGGAGAGTATAGGAGTTTTTGACGTATTAGAGTCTCCTGAATTCGTTTTGAACATTTTCGCGATGATATCTGTTTGTATGTGTCTGTAAACTCGATAATTCAAGAAAGAATAAACAGAAAAAACACTAAATTATAAACCTGCGATAAGTTGATTCGATTTAAATTAGAATATTTACATAATATTTAAATAAATACTAGAAAATACCACAAAAATCATTTATTAACAGATGAGCAAACCACTATTCAACACTAGACAAACTTATTTTCCTGATATAGCTATTAAAATCATTTTAATCTATTATATTCTTTCTACAGTTATTTGTCGAAGGACAAATATCATAACAATCCTTTAGAAAAGAAATTATGAGATTTTGTTTGACAAAAAAAGTAAAGTAAATATCAAAAATAAAATAAAGCAACATAAAAACAAAAATAATTATTAATAAATAATTATAGTATTTACCTGTTTATTTTTACCACTAGGTACTAGTAAGAAATCTGAGCTTGGATATGTATCATTTCTACACTGTAACTGATATTCAGAGAGCAATCTTGCGGTACTTACGTACAAATAGGAAATAATATGGGAAATTACACCTAACAATAATGATTAATAAATAATATATTTATTAACTATTAAACTTAAACCTGTCTTTCATTGTAAATTAATAGTTTCTATCCAAGGATTTATTGAAATTTAACAATAAAATAAAAATTATCTCATACCTTCTAATTATTGGAATTTTGATGTATCAAACGATTTTGTTATACAGGGTGTGCCAGGAGTTGATGTGAATAATTCGGTAGTACCTAGATGAAATCAAAATAAATAAAAAATACAGAATAGTAGCTAGCGTTAAGCCCATATTTAAAAAGTATTTTTGAATATACAGGATGTATCATAGCATCAGCCTACGAGTTATTTCACAAGGCGTAATCAGTTTCGTATGAGATTCCAATAGAAAGAAAATCTTTTTTGTAGCAATAATTTTTTATTATCAGTCTTATTTTGTTTACCGAGATATTACTTTAATGAAATAGCAATAAATATGTTCACTACATAGTATAGAAGCTAATCACCCTTGATATTTTCATTATTTGGCAAAATCCCAGCGAAGCATGATTCGGAAAATGTTCTCTTAAGATTCTTGATGTGCTTGCGTGGAAGATGTTATCACAGGTATAATATTCGTTGGTCTACTTGTAAGTTTCTATTAAGTCACCTCTAGTTCTTCTATCCTTTAAACTTTAAAGCTGTAGTTTGGTTAGCCGATCACGATACTCATTTTTATGTATATTTCGTGGTATTTTGATGACTCTTCTTTGTACTTTTTTTCAGCAGTTCAATGTATTTAACAAAGTGTGGATTCCAAACGGTCTGTACAAATTTTGTCTTTGGTTTGAGAATCATATCTTCGGAATGGTCTTTAAAAGCTCTTTTGATAAGGTAAACGAGACTATTGACTTTCTTCACCATATATTAGCAATGTGGGTTTTTCATTTTAAGTCTTTAGATATGATTATACCAAGATCCTTTAGTGCTTCGTTTGGAGTTATTGCGTTGGTATCTATGGTGTGGGGATTATTTGGGCCAATGTGAAATAATGTACACTTATTTATGTTGAGGGGTAGTATCCATTGCTAGGATCAGATTGCTATTTTATTCAAATCTTGTTTCATTTTGTGAGAGCTTTCCATTGGCTTACAGTAGATCTTTCCATCGTCTGCATCAAAGTTGGCTTCAGACTCGATGATTTTGCATAAATTGTTGGTGTATAAAATAAATAATAGAGGATCCAAGACCGAACCTTGTGGTACTCCACTTTCTACTAGATAGTTGTTTGACAGCTGTCCATTTATTATTTCGCAGAACTGCTATATTGCCTCTTATTCCAAAGTATTTCAGTTTGCTAAGCAACCTTCTATGTGGAACTTTACCAAAAGCTTTCTCATAATCAAATATATCACATCAATTGGCTGGTTGTTGTCATTCCAAGCTGTCCACTGGTTAACTGCACTTCTAACAACAGATCTGTTGAGTGTAAATCCATGCTGATTGCAAGGTAAAACTCTGTATTCCATCATAAACTCGGTTATTTTTTTTGTAATTATTTATTATTGCTTTACCGATACAACTTGTAAGACTGACTAGACGGTAGTTTAAGGGATTTTTTTATCGCCATTTTTACATATAGGAGTGACTGTATCCTGTTTTTAGTCTTGTGACAGTTCCTGTTTTTGCATAGAATCGTTCATAACTGTCGCGAGGAGATTAAGAAGGTAATAAGAACATTTGTTAAGAAAAATTGGTGAGATTTCATCTATTCCAGGACTTGAATCTTGTTTAAGACTATCTACTACTAATTTTTATATTCTATATTTACTATGCTATTCTCAACTCTTTCTGTTCCAGTTATTTGCGGTGATTCTGTATCAGGTTCTGTTGGATAAACTACACTGAACTGTTCTGCAAATCTTTCTGCTATCTCAGTTGGTTCTGTGATTGCTAAATTTGTTGCTGAGTTTCTTAGAGTGATCTGAGTGCTGTTTGTATTTAGTATTCTTCTCACATAGGAGTTATATTTCTTTTCGCTACATTTTAATAGGTTATGTTCATAAAATTTTCTAGACACAGCCAATAAATTTTTAAATTTATTGTTCTGATTTCTATAAGCAACATAATCTTCCTCAGCTCTTGTTGACCTGTACCTATAACATTGGTTCCGTTTTTTATTAATTTCTTTATAGTGGCTTCGATTGATCCAGGGTTTTTATTTTTTACTTCTTTTGGAATATTGTCATTTATTACTTTGTGCCGCAATTTTGTTAAAGTTTCGTAAGAACTATTAGCAGCATCTTGCAAATATGCACTTGAACTATCTCACTATTGATTAATATTTAATCTGCTTTCCAGAAATTTCTCTTTTAAATACTGTATGTGGATCCAGTTTGGATGTTAAGTTGTGCGAAAGCCCAAAAAGCTGGCGACTCGCCGGAGATTGTCACCGGAATGTCATTTCACGCAAGTTTTTATTTTTTTTTATAGGGATTATCATCGGTATCTCTCGCCTTTATTCATGATTCATTTCTTAAAACTCAAAAAATAATGAACGAATATTAAATTTTACCCTATAAAAGAACATGAAAACTTGCGTGAAATGACATTCCGGTGACAATCTCCGGCGAGTCGCCAGCATTTTGGCCTTTCGCCGGCGGATCGCCAGCGAATCCTGGCGATACGCCGGAATGAATCTATGGCGAGTCGCTGGCGAACGACTATGTATACGGCTGTTACTTTTCGTCCCTATCAGCTCCTAATGATACGACGCGATGGCCGGTTTTTTAAACGCTCGTTATTCTGGCTCACCCTCTATTTACCAAGTTTAACAAAGCAATTAACACTATGGCCACTAGCCATATATTTTATTCAGTAGATGAATATGTTCAGCGAAATATCTCTGAATGATTTTAATGAACTGTTTTACTAAATTTTACATTGTGTGTGTAAATTTAATTGTATTTTATTCTTTTAAGTAATATTTTAAATATAATATATGCCTACATTATACAGAGTCGGCCACTGAACGTTTTTCAATACGCCTTACCACAAGTGCATGTGAAAACTACAGAGTTAACATTAGGCCGAGCAGGAAACGAATAATATCAGCGTTACCAGTTTAAACGGCCAGACCGCGTTGTTCAATTACAGTTTCTCTTGGATGTATTTTATAAAGAATTAACACAACAAATTTGATTTTTACAAATTTTTAACAAAAAAATATATCAATAAACGAGCCTAGAAATTAAAAATAAAGTTATTACGATTTATACTAACCTTAATTGTTTAAATTGACCTCTACGAATGAGGATTACGATATACCTAAATATAGTTATAAAGGATTAAGGATATTATTATATTCATTAAATGAATTATATAGATATAAATATTTCCTTTTGTTTTATAACTATTAAAGAAAAACAAAAACAAGGTCATTTATTTATACTTTTTATATTCAATATTGTCTTACGTATATAATTTTAGGAAACTCAAATACAAACCGTAAAAGACATTATTTCACATCACCGATCGTAAATTTTTGTTGAGTAAATACTAGTTACAGAATTACTTTCTGTTTACCTTATATTACCGGTAAAAAAAAACTTTCAAACACCTTAAGAAACCATCAAATTGCTTTCCACCACATACAGGGTGAAATGAAATTTACAAAATGGCCTCGAAATGTTTAGAAAGAGAACATAACGGATATAAAAAATCTATAGATACAAATTTATTAACTTTCAGCAATAATATATCAAAATGTGTTAATTCCCGTGAACAAGTCGATTGTATTTATACTGATTTCAAGAAAGCCTTTGATAAGGTAAATCGCAATATTCTCCTAGCTAAATTGAAATAATATTATGGTCTTAGCAATCACCTAATGCAATTCTTTTCGTCTTATCTAAAGCTGAGTCTCAGTACATAATGTTTGGTGGTGAAGTGTTTCATACAATTCTTGCAGGCTCTGGTGTCCCTCAGGGCTCCAATTTAGGCCCTCTATTTTTTTATTATTTGTCAATGATCTCCCTCTACGTATTACATCAGATTGCCTGATGTATGCAGATGATCTGAAAGTTCTTAAAAAAATTACCACCCTTAATGATTATCTAGATCTTCAAAATGACTCAATTTCGGATTGGTCATTAGAAAATAAATTAATTAATTAATTACATTCAGCAAAATTTGGAATCCTCAAAATTTTATCTACACAATAATAAAAATCTCCTTACTATACTGGATCTTTTTTAAACACCAAGTTATCCTTTAATTTTAAACAACATATGCTAAAAAGTACTATAGTTCTGAACCATAGTTCTGTACTATAGTTCTCTACTATAGTTCTCTACTATAGTTCTGTACTATACTATAGTTATGTATTATAGTTATGTACTATAGCTCTGTACTATTGTTTTGTATTATTATTCTGTGCTATATTTCTGCACTATTTTTCTGTACTATTGTTCTGTACTACTATTCTGTACTGTTGTTCTGTACTATTGTTCTGTACTATTGTTCTGTACTATTGTTCTGTGCTATTGTTCTATAATATTGTTCTATACGGTTGTTTTGTACTTTTAATATACAGTTGTACTGTACTACAGTTCTGTACTACTGTTCTGTACTATTATTATGTACTATAGTTCTGTACTATTATTATTAACATTTTATTGTACATTTTTGACGTATCTGAAATGCAAAAATATTAAAAATTTACTTTACTAGATGAAATTTTATTAAAATCAATATATTTCATTTACAGCAAACGCAGTCTTAGTCCAAGACGGCCCTGCCTGTCCAGAGGAGCATGGAGTCCAAGCATACGCTCATCCAGAGTCTTGCAACCTTTTCTTCCTGTGTACTAATGGTACCCTTACTGTAGAAACCTGTGAAAATGGTCTTCTCTTTGACGGCAAAGGAAACGTTCATCATCACTGTAATTACAATTGGGCTGTGGATTGTGGACACAGGAAAGCAGACTGTAAGTAGGATTTATATTATTAAATTACCTTACGTGTTTAAAAAATAAGTTCTAAACAAGTGACGTACAGTATTTTTTCTACGATCACAAAATTATTTGTTTATTAAATCTAAAACCAGGAAATCTGGCTATGAAGGAATACTAGTTTAACACTTAACGTACTGAACCATGAAGGCAAGTGAATTATTTAATAATATAGTTACTTTAAAATTATATTATTATTAAAAATAAATATCTATCAATGTTAACAATTTACTGTTGATATAGTCATTACATAAATCATAATAGAAATGATGCATCTGACATATTTGACATATATATTATTTATGCAATCCTTGAGCTTCTTAAATTCGTCAGTTTACTGACTTTCAATAAATATTTTAATTGTATTTTATTAATTTTTTAGTAGATTGTTGTTTATAAACTAAAATAGATATAGTTTTTTATCTAAAATGTACCACAGAAAAAGCTAAATTCATTTATTGTTTAATAATACTCTCTTTTTTATAAAAAATGAAACCAGTGATATTTCTAAAGGATCGAAAACAATGTGTATCTTTAACAGTTAAAGAAAAGAATGCAATTAATAAATACCATTATTTCTGGTTATTTAGATATATAATTAAATTTGTGACTTCTACATTTTATTTTATGTAAATGTACTATTATTTTTATTTCACTGCTTATTTATTATTTAATAAAATACACATATTAAAACAAAACAGTTAATCCTTAGCTAATTCTTCAAAGACCTTTGATAGATACAATTAAATAAAATTGCAAAACTTTTGCACAAGTACATTTACTAAATCTTGATATTTAAAATTTAGATATGCATTCTAGAGCTATTAACCTTTAGATTGTAAGCTAATTATTGTTGATTTGATTTATTTAAAACAGGAAATTTTCTAACTGATTGCATGAGTAATGTACGTACTCTTTAAATCATGTTATTAAAATACGAATTCAAAAGTATTTGAAAGTATAAATGGGGTATTGTTATGACAGAAATTGAAGAAGATACTTGTTTGTCATTTATGCTGTCATTTATGCCAATTATAGACACAATTTTTGAATCATTTATCAATTTTAGAATAATTTTTATTGATTCTAGAGTCATTTATGTAAATTATAGAGTCATTTATGTCAATTCTAGTCGTCATTTATGTCATATAATTTCATTCAGCTCAATTTTAGAGGAATTTATAGAATTCTAGAGTCATTTATGTCAATTTCAGAGTCATTTGTCACTTTTAGGTATTTATATTGATTCTAAAGTTATTTATGTAAATTCTAAAGCTTTTTAGGTCAAATTTAAAGTCATTTATGCCAATTTTACTATTAAAGTCAAATTGAGTCATTTATGTAAATTCTGGAGTCAATTATTTCAATTCTAGTGGCATTTACGTAAATTCTAAAATCATTTATGTCATATGTCACTAAGTTCAATTTTAGAGACATTTATGGCATTCTAGAGTCATTTATCTATTTCAGAATCATTTGTGACTTTTAGAGGTATTTGTTTCGATTCTAGAATCAGTTATGTAAATTTTAAAGTCATTTATGCCAATTACAATATCATTAAAGTCAAACAGAGTCATTTTTGTAAATTCTAGAGTGATTTATTTTAATTCTAGTGGCATTTACGTTAATTCTAGAATCATTTATGTCATATTATGTCACTTAATTCAATTTTAGATACATTTATGGAATTCTAGAGTCATTTGTCAATTTCAGAATCATTTGACACTTTTAGAGGTAATTGTACTGATTTTAGAGTCATTTATGTAAATTCTAGAGTCTTTTATGTCAATTCTAGTCATTTATGTCATATAATTTCATTTAAGTCAATTTTAGAGGAATTTATGGAATTCTAGATTCATTTATGTCAATTTCAGAATCATTTGTCATTTTTAGGTATTTGTATTGATTCTAGAGTCATTTATGTAAATTCTAGAGCTATTTAGGTCAAATTTAAAGTCATTTGTGCCAATTATATTATCATTAAAGTCAAATCGAGTCATTTAAGTAAATTCTAGAGTCATTTATTTTAATTCTAGTAGCATTTACGTTAATTCTAGAATTATTTATATCATATAATGTCACTTAGTTCAATTTTAGAAACATTAATGGTATTCTAGAGTCATTTATCAATTTCAGAATCATTTGACACGTTTAGAGGTAATTGTACATATTCTAGAGTTATTTATATAAATTCTAGAGTTATTTATGTAAATTCTCTAGTTATTTATGTCAATTCTAGAATGATTTATGTACATTTTAAATATATGCCAATTCTAGTCAGTTATGTCAGATAATTTCATTTAGATCAATTTTAGAGGAATTTATGGAATTCTAGAGTCATTTATGTCAATTTCAGAATCATTTGCCACTTTCATGTATTTGTATTGATTCTAGAATCATTTATGTAAATTTTAGAGCTATTTAGGTCAGATTTAAAGTCATTTATGCCAATTATATTGTCATTAAAGTCAAATCGTGTCATTTATGTAAATTCTAGAGCCAATTATTTTAATTCTAGAGGCATTTACGTAAATTCTAGAATCATTTGTGTCCTATAGTCACTTATTTTAATTTTAGAGACATTTATGGCATTCTAGAGTCATTTATCTATTTCAGAATCAATTATGACTTTTAGAGGTATTTGTTTAGATTCTAGAGTCAGTTATGTAAATTTTAAAGTAATTTATGCCAATTATATTGTCATTAAAATCAAATCGAGTCATTTATTTAAATTCTAGAGTCATTTGTTTTAATTTTAGTAGCATATACGTTAATTCTAGAATTAGAATTAGATCATTGGTATTGTTATTGTTATTATTACCTAAATTGTTTTATAAAGCGATACAAGTATTTAATACTTATCGCTTCGCACCACTTTATTTAATATTTGTTATTTTTGTTATTTTTATTATATCATATTATATTTTTATGGTACTTCTTTTTTAGGAAGAATCATATTTTTTTATTGTATATATAGATATGATTCATATATGTAATTTATTATTGAATAAAGTTATATTATTATTATTATTATTATTATTTATATACTGTCATTTATGGCATTCTACAGTCATTTGTCAATTCAGAATCATTTAACACTTTTAGAGGCAATTGTACTGATTCTAGAGTCATTTATCTAAATTCTAGAGCTACTTAGGTCAAATTTAAAGTTATTTATGCCAATTATATTATCATTTAAGACATAAAGATTTATTTATGTAAATTCTAGAGATATTTATGTCAATTATATCAGTTCTAGAGTCACTTATGTATCAAGGAAAAGAATAATTATATTTTTTTTTGTTTAGTGACACCAATCAGCACACCAGGATGTGAATACCAATTCGGTCTCTATCCAGATGGCCAAGAGTGTTCCGTACACTACATCAAATGTGCATATGGTGAACCAATCCCTTTTCAATGTGATCCAGGACTAGTTTATGACGAAAGAATTCACGGATGTAATTGGCCTGATTTGTTGGCAGAAAAATGCAATCCTGAAGGTAAAAAATTTGGTTTTTATACCACGTTTATTAATTAGAGTTCTTGTTACACTAATTATATTAACATATTTATTAAAATATTTATCAAACTGTTAATTATACTAATTTATGTAGGTATTTCATGTAATAAAAAAAATATATGTTTTAAAATTGCAAGAATGTGATTATAAAAAATGTATGATGCTAAATACCTGTACCCATCCATGTAGAAAATCAGACATGTTTCAGTAACTATGTGTTTTAGTAATATAACAATGAAATCGTTAAATATTATATGGAGCGTAACAATTTACCTATATTTGTACGTATACACTGTTACATACAGTGTGTATATCGAATATGGATTAAATTCGTTCTTTTTTTATTATCGCTAAATTTTAAATTCTCTGATGGTGTAAAGTATATATATATACTTGTTGGTCACCGATGTCAATAGTGACATTGACATATCTCAAAAATAATAATGTGAAGAAAATTTAATACATTTTTCTTTATTTTTACCTTTCTCAAAATTCATAGAGTATAAAAAGAAAATTGAAGTTTGATATCGAATATAATTTAGTTTTTTCATTATAAATTCATACAGAATGATTTGGTTCGATTTGTTTTTTATTTTAAGTTGTACTTATTTGATAAACTAATTTATATATACGTATTTATATTTTTTAGCCGTTGTTGGTTTCAAATGCCCCACCAAAGTCCCCTCTAACAGTCCAGCAGCCAAATTCTGGCCATACCCACGGTTCCCAGTTCCTGGAGACTGTCACCGTTTGATCACCTGCGTCAACGGCTATCCACGGTTGATCAGCTGTGGAGAGGGAAAAGTCGTGGACGAACACACCCTAACCTGCGAAGATCCCGAACTAGTACCCCACTGCGCCAACCATATTAGAAAATAGAGAGGTTTCAAGTCTTGTGGACGAGGCGGACGATGTAAAATTTGACCAAAAAAATTAATGTTGTTTCTTTTTAGATAAAATAGTATTTGTAGAGTATTGTTTAATAGTAGTTTACCTAACAAGTGCGGAAAGTGATACTTTTCCGCACGCGATTGCCAAACGACGCGTTAGCGGAGTTCGGCCAGCAAAGGCGTGCGGAAAAGTCACTTTACGAACGTGTTAGGTACACTATTTTTTCTACTAACGTGCGGAAAAAACCCAAAAGTTATCATAAAGAAACATTTATTATTAAATACATATCAACAAATTAATTTTTCTTAATATTAATATTGAACGTGCAATTTGTGGCATTCTGAAAATTAATTGCAGAGGCTAAAATGTTTTCCAATGAAGTCAGATTTCGGTTTTCCACTTCTTTGTCAGCACTAATTGTTGCAATTGTAGCGATGAGAACTTGGCTGGAAGAAGTCATTTTGGAAGGCTTTACTGGTGACAGCTGCTGACTAGTGGAAAGACCAGCGACAGCGTCACTGAAGTTTAAAATTTTATTCGATAGGCCCTTTTGGAAACTTGGAAACCCCTAAGGCGTTTAATATTTGTTATTCCTTCTCCGGAATCTGCAAGCATTGTGGCGGTTAAACGTCGGAAACTCTGGCCCGTATATAATTCAGGATTTGGAAGCTTCAGATAACTTGCAATCTCTGATGGCATTTTCCCGAAGATGTTTATTCCGATACATTGTACATTGCAAGTTCCTTTCTTATATTTCACGGAAAATCGCTTATGTGGGGTTTCAGGCTTCCTTAAACTCACATACTTTCTGAACAAATTGAGCAATTTTCCATTTTCAGCTTTCTCAGAAATCGCAAAGCTTCTGAAAGAGTGTTTTTTTGTGTCTGGGATATTTATCAATAAAATATTTCCTGTGTCATCAATATGATCTAAAGACATCTTTGTTAATTCTTCTCGCCTACATGCGCCCGCCAAATCAAAAATCGTAGCGACTTTTTTATGAAGATAAATTTTGTCAGGCGCTTCATTTATAAACTTCATTTATAAACTTAAAAATATTTGCCTTTTTTGGTCTAAATCCAATGTTTTGTTTTTTATATATGTCTTAATCGACGTCTTTTTTGAGTTTAATTACAGTTTTTAACATTGAGTACCTAGACCAAAGAATGTTTGGCTTGCATGTTTTGGAAATTTCAGCGAAATAAGCCAAAAAAACGTCTTCTTTAAAAATTTTAATTCCCTTATTCTGCCACCAGTTTTCAAACAAAATATATTCCTTTTCATACATATAACGGGATTTTGATGGTAGGTAGATCCAAGTTTGCAGTTCTAGCCGCTTCCAAAACGTACTCTAGTGCGGAAAAGTGACTCTGTCAACACTAAAATGAGTGCGGAAAAGTGGACTTTTCCGCACGCTAGTAGAAAAAATATATTTCATTTTATTGGACTTTTGGTAAAAATTATTAATTTGAACAATATTCTATTAAAACTGTTTCTATTTGTGTTTTTGTATAGTTAATTTTGGATAAAAGAATGCGTTAGTAATTTTTGTAGTATATTTATTTTATATGTTAATTTTTTTACTTTTTTAGAACGTTTTATCATAAATTAATGTTGCTTAAAAAACATGTTAGTTAAATTATATCGCTATTTAAATGTTTTTTAAAATTTAAATTTGTGAAAACTTGTGAATGTTTTTCATTTCTACATCTTCTATTTTTCTTCTTCTTGTTTTTCTCTTTATGTGGTTCTTTATATTTTTAATTTATGATTCTTTCTTAGCATCTGATAATAATTAAATTCTTCATTTTATCGTTCTTGATGTATGTATGTTCTGATTTTATTCCAGATTCAATCTTATCTCACTTTAATTTATTACTCTTTTGGATATTAGATTCGTTCTTAAGTTTTTATCTTATTGTTCTTCTTCTTTTATGTCTTCTTGTTCTTGCATTCATTCATTCATTTCCTGCCATCTATATGTAATTTTTTGTGATTTATATTACTTGTATTTCTTCTTCTTTATCCTTGTAGTATTTATTTTCCTTAAAAAAACTTTTTATTAATTTTAAAAGTATTTTACAATACCCTTCCTTAACATTCTTTAATAAATCTTTTATATAAATATCCTTATTTTTTCTCTTTTGCTTTCTTAATGAAATTTTTTTCTTGTTTGTTTTGTGTATAGATTTTTTAAATACTTGTTGAGCATAATCAGAAAATTATCAATTAAACAGTCATAAGAAAGATAGTTTCTATATTATTTAAAAATATATTTAGGAAGTATTGTATCATAATTTCTTTATTTTTTTCGCCGTGACTAGCAGTACTTTGGATGTACACGAATTATTTGTACATCGGATGTATCCCCCATTAATTGTACATCATAATTCTAACCTAACTTTATTTCAGATGATGGAGTGAAAGACTTAAGTATTTTTCTGTAGTATTTTATATACCTTAGAAGCAAATTTCACATACATGACCAAATAATAACAATGCCGTGACAACAAGGAAAACGAAGCAACGACTTCTCGTAGGGTGGCGGCTTCGCCGCCACCAGAAAATTTCAATCCATATCTGGCTACGCCGACCGGCATAAACACCAACGGCCTGGACACAGCTCACCTACTCTGTCAAAAGGAGACCGATGTACAAATAAAGCGCGTACATCTGATGTACTGCTAATCACTGTATTTTTTTCATTTTATTTGCTATATTTTTTTGTCTTTACTGTGCTTTCTTTTTCTCTTATCATTTTCTTTCTTTTCTTCTTTTCTTCTTTTCTTCTTTTCTTCTTTTCTTCTTTTCTTCTTTTCTTCTTTTCTTCTTTTCTTCTTTTCTTCTTTCTTCTTTTCTTCTTTTCTTCTTTTCTTCTTTTCTTCTTTTCTTCTTTTCTTCTTTTCTTCTTTTCTTCTTTTCTTCTTTTCTTATTTTCTTCTTTTCTTCTTTTCTTCTTTTCTTCTTTTCTTCTTTTCTTCTTTTCTTCTTTTCTTCTTTTCTTCTTTTCTTCTTTTCTTCTTCTTCTTTTTCTTCTTTTCTTCTTTTCTTCTTCTTTTCTTCTTTTCTTCTTTTCTTCTTTTCTTTCTTTTCTTCTTTTCTTCTTTTCTTCTTTTCTTCTTTTCTTCTTTTCTTCTTTTCTTCTTTTCTTCTTTTCTTCTTTCTTCTTTTTCTTCTTTTCTTCTTTTCTTCTTTTCTTCTTTTCTTCTTTTCTTCTTTTCTTCTTTTCCTTCTTTTCTTCTTTTCTTCTTTTCTTCTTTTCTTCTTTTCTTCTTTTCTCATCTTTTCTTCTTTTCTTCTTTTCTTCTTTTCTTCTTTTCTTCTTTTCTTCTTTTCTTTTCTTCTTTTCTTCTTTTCTTCTTTTCTTCTTTTCTTCTTTTCTTCTTTTCTTCTTTTCTTCTTCTTTCTTTCTTCTTTTCTTCTTTTCTTCTTTCTTTCTTTTCCTTCTTTTCTTCTTTTCTTCTTTTCTTCTTTTCTTCTTTTCTTCTTTTCTTCTTTTCTTCTTTTCTTCTTTTCTTCTTTTCCTTCTTCTTTCTTCTTTTCCTTCTTTTCTTCTTTTCTTCTTTTCTTCTTTTCTTCTTTTCTTCTTTTCTTCTTTTCTTCTTTTCTTCTTTTCTTCTTTTCTTCTTTTCTTCTTTTCTTTCTTCTTTTCTTCTTTTCTTCCTTTTCTTCTTTTCTTCTTTTCTTCTTTTCCTTCTTTTCTTCTTTTCTTCTTTTCTTCTCTTTCTTCTTTTCTTCTTTTCTTCTTTTCTTCTTTCTTCTTTTCTTCTTTTTCTTCTTTTCTTCTTTTCTTCTTTTCTTCTTTTCTTCTTTTCTTCTTTTTCTTCTTTTCTTCTTTTCTTCTTTTCTCTTCTTTTCTTCTTTTCTTCTTTTCTTCTTTTCTTCTTTCCTTCTTTTCTTCTTTTCTTCTTTTCTTCTTTTCTTCTTTTCTTCTTTTCTTCTTTTTCTTCTTTTCCTCTTCTTCTTCTTCTTTTCTTCTTTTCTTCTTTTCTTCTTTTCTTCTTTTCTTCTTTTCTTCTTTTCTTCTTTTCTTCTTTTCTTCTTTTCTTCTTTTCTTCTTTTCCTTCTAATTTTTCTGCTCTCTATTTTATTATTATCTCTATTTTAAAGAAGAACTCAATTTATTCCTTAATTTTTTTTTTTCCAATTTTAATATTTGCTATAATTTTTTTCTCTTTTTCATCTATTGTAATACTTTACTTTCATTACTTCTTTAAATTTATTTTTATGGTTTGTTCTATTCTTATATATTTTTCTTTGTTTTTACTGTTAGATGTACTTTCCTCCAATTATTACTACTTCTTACACTCTTTTTCTATTTTTATCTTTTTTACTCTATACATCATTTGTATTTCTTCAATTTTTTTTGTATCTGCATATTTATATGGCAATTCAGATTCACGCTTATTCAATTTGTTCACTGTCTCTTTTCTACTGCCACGATTTAATTAACAACTAAATGACACAGTAGAAAATAAAATTAAAACTCAAAGCGGGAGTGTCAATATTTCTAGCATAATACTATTTTAATCCTCTATACTTTTATACTTCTTTTCTTCTTCCAACTTTACAACATTAATCTTTTCAAATTCTAATCCCAACTGACTCTTTTGCTTGCTTTTATTGATAACATTAGTTTATACAATTAACCAACCACTGCAAGTTACATTAGTTATCATTTTATTTATATAGTTTTAAGTTAAGATGTTCAAATCGGTTTTTGTGAGAGAAAAATGTAAAATTTGAACGTGACCATACCCCAGAGTTTTAGAAAAGGCTTACACTTTGACACAAAAATCGAATTGGACAGTTTTAAGCAACAAATTATTATTTTAAATAGATAGGTATATTGTATGTATAAATATATAATCATAGGTTATTAATAACTATATAACATAATAATAAGTGAAGGTAGTTTTTTCAGATAGAGGTTATTTATAGTAGTTTTGTGTATTAATTATTTTCTTCTAAGAGCTAAAACTGAAGCTGTACATGAGTTTTTCTAGGAATGAGAGTTTTTATATAGGCTTCTTGTTTCTTCTGCTAATTCTTCTCCTTCTATTCTTTTTCTCTTATTTTTCTTTCTCCTCTTATTCTTCTTCCTCCCTGTATTCTTTTTTCTTCTCTTATTCTTCTTTCTTCTCTTAGGAATCTTTCTCCTCTCCTCTCATCATCTCCATCTTATCCTTTTTCATTCATTTAACTAATTTTCTAGTTTTTCTCGTATTCTTTCTTCACTTATTCTCTTTCCTCTTTTTATCCTTCTTCCTCTTCTTATTTTCTTTCTTTTCTTCTTTCCCTTATCTTCTTTCTTATCTTAGTAATACTTCTCTTTATCTGTTTTTCTCATCGTCTTCATCCTAGTTATGTTTCATTAATTTTATTTATTTTCCTAGTTTTTCTTATATTCTTTCTCCTCTATTCTTTTTGTCTCATTTTCTCTTATTCTTTTTCTAATTATATTACTCTCTATTCTTTTTTTCCTTTATTCTTTATTCTATTCTGCATTTATTTAAATTTCCTATTTCTATAAAATAGTGTTTCTCACGTCTTTCAATATTTTTTTATGTGTACTCTGTACGTTGTAGCCAACTTTTCTACATTTTCTCTTTACCTTCTTTCTATGCTCTATCATCCTTTCTAAGCTCTATCGTTCTTTCTGAGCTATTATTTTTTTCTTGTGTTTGTTTTTGTTGTAATATCATTCAAATTGCTTTCTTTAATTTATGTTTTTCCATTATGTCATCTTCTATCAAAAATAATTCTTCTGTTAAATATTTCTTTTTATTTCTACTTATTTTTAACTGTCTTCTGACTTCTTTTCTCAATTGTAGCTAGATAAATAATGTGATCAAAACACATATACACGACATAATATTTTAAATACGTCGATACGAATACATTCTAAAAACAACTGATTGGTATTTTTCTGTAATTAGAAATCTTTTATAGGCACAAATATTTCAATAAATTGGTAGGGTACCGAATTAGTTTTTTTAAAAAAGTTCGTTAATTTATGCTCAACAAGTATTTGACCTGTTAAGTTTACAAAGAATTATAAAATTGTATAAAAATTTATTTGATTGTAGTTTTTGTTACTATTTTTTATATTTTTAAATTGGTTAAAGAAATTTAAAAATTGAATAAACTATAAAAAATAAATTATATTTCATTGAAATAATCCTCATAATATCCTAATTGTTTACTGTCAGACCTAAGTGTGTTTTATGGTTGACGTCACACCGACATATCCACTTATTTTTTATTATACACTTGGTTTGAAAATAGTTTTATATAAGAACCATTGGAACTTCTGTCTGAATAAGTTTTAAATGAAGAGTAGGACTTCCCAAAGATTTAATATCATTTTTCAGCCAGAGAAAATCTAGAAAAATCGTTTATAAAATATTTTCTATACCTACTAGTCGCCATTTTATAAAAATGTCCCAACCCGAAAATGTGGCAATGTTGGATAAGACAATGACCAGATTCGCTAATGAAGCGTAGATGGAGATTGTTTCAGCCACGTTTTGTGTAAAAATTCGTGCGGCCGACATTACTCGATCTAACGGCTCGAACACCTGAATTGAA